GCTTTGGAAACTGGGAGTCACAGGTGAATGTATTTACACCACAAATCCCCGCTGCATTAGTTGGAAGAAGTCAAGAAAATAAGGCCCCCATAGGTGTTCTGTTTGTCCTTATGTAGTCATTTTCAAAGGCAGAACAAAAAGAAAAGATCACTCCTCTGGGTGCCCCTTTGCCCAATGAGCAGCAGCTAGATGAGTGAGCTTAGGACATATCTATAATTCAGTTCGGGAATAATTCCCTGAATAATTAATTGAACGTCACAAAAGAAGGAGGCCCAACTGGGCCTTCGAACAAAGCTGCCTGCCAAGGACAACAGTGGCCGCCCCAGAGCCAACCGACCGGCAAAGGTCGGATTTGCTCCAGTAGCCGGGCGAGCTCAGACACTGCTTGCTTGTCCCTTTAGGGGAAACTGGGAGAGATGCCCAAAGACAGGGTCGCCACCTGGGCTTTGGTGGCATGTGTGTTGGTGGGGAGAGGCAGAGGGGGAGTTGGGAGAAAGCGCCTCTGTCTCTAGCTCTTGCTCTCTCTCTCGCTGTGTGTTGTGTGAGTGCGAATTCGCAAATCTTTGTCTCGGTGTATGTGTGGGAATTACATATTTTAGATCCAGGTCCAGAGGCATTTCAGAAGCTTGCCTCTTAATAAACAACTTCTGAGTCCATTTCAGGGTACGAACGACTTCCCCACCCCTATTACTTGCATTGGAGGTGGGAGGTGGTGGAGATATCACCACTAAGATAGAGACCTCCTGCAAGCCGGCTAAACCACCACGGTGCTAGTCCTACTTCATTATGCAGCAACAGCTTCTCCCAGAGCTCCTCCCCTGCCTTTCCAAGACCCTGGCCCGGGGTCCACCTTGCAACCTGTTCCTAGCGCTCCAACTCTCCTCTAGTCCTTGGACTTCTGCCTTCAGTGTGCCCCTCCTAGCCCGGGCATTCTTTGCATTTCTCCAACTGTTAATCCACCGAGTCCAATACCTGTTTAACGTCTGCCTCCTCTGCGCCCCAGTGACTTTATCCCGGACCTCAGGACGACACATCCGTGCGTGCAAGCAAGCCGGAGCCTGGAAGCAATCCCAGGCGGAGGCATGGCTCTTAGTCGCTGGCCTCTCCAGAGAGGCATAGGGGCTCCAAACCCGCTGCCAGGGGCTGCGGAGGACTGTCCAGGCAACGAGTGATGTCCAGAGAGCGGTTTAGGGAGAGGAGAGGACGACCCAGGACACCCCGTTGGGGCAACTGCTTCTCCCGTCAAGGGCCTCCCTCTCAACCTCTTTGGGGACTTGCGCGCGCTGCCGTCAGGACCCCCATCCCAGCTCCAGTGGTGGCCACTTTTCCCTCTGCGGTTTGCACCTTTCCTTCGGGATTGACAGCCAAGGGCTCCTGGAACATCTCCCAGAGCCTGGGCGTAGGGGGCAGCCGGGCCCAGGGAGGGGAGCCACGGCTTCGTGACTGCGCGCGCCCCGCTGCGCCGTGAGACGCCCCCCCAACCCCAAGCGGCGAACGTCCCGCCCCCGGCGCGCCTGGGCCCGCCCCCCGCGCGCCCGCGGCCGGGGAGGCGTGTGCTGCTCCCGCAGCCGCGAGCGAGCGAGCGCGCCAGCCTGCCAGCCAGCCAGCCAGCCTGCCAGCCAGCCAGCCAGGGATGCTTGCTGGAGCAGCAATTCGGGGCTGAACAAGTGAGCGCTGCTGTCTAGGATTTTGTTGCTTTTCTCGGGTGGGGGTGTGGGGAGATCTGGACTTGGTTTCCCTGACAAGCCCTTCTGGGTGACCTGCAGAGGAACCAAGATCCTGGGGTTTTCCTTGGGGGCAATCCTAACCCTTTACTTCCCCTGGGCTCCAGCAGCGCAGACTCTGTGCCCCTTCCCTATCCGCCCCCGCCCTCCACCCCCACCTTGGGCAGGACACAGAACTTGTTCCCTGGATATTTTGCAACCTGCACCTGCCGCACCGGAGTGATTTCCATTTACCGCCTGGGAGACCTTTCTGTCCCCACCCCCAGCTGTTGGAGCTCGAGGGGAGCAATAACAAACCTGCGGAGGGGGAAGATTTTCTTTATTTTTATTTTGATGTTTCGCTCCGCCTGGGAACGGTAAGTATTGATACCTTTCCTGTCTCTCCTGCACCCTCCTCTTGTGCCTGTCAAGAAGCAGTGGGCATTTGAGGGATAAATAATATCGGAATTGTGACAGAAGGGCATGAATGGAAGGTGGTTAAAAATAAACTAGGAGGTGGGAGAGGGGAGGTGCAGATGCGGCGCTGCGCTCCAGGGGGCCAGCCCCCAGGGATGGGGGAGTGCACCCTGCTTACTGAGTCCAAGCGAGCGGGAACCCAGGTCCCGAGGCGAGGGCACGATTAAAAAATGTCCTTTCCCGACTAGGTGAGGTTTAGATTAGCAGGGTTTTTTGGTCTCATTCCACCTTCACCGGTTCTGTTCCTTGACGAACAGCTGGTGAACCGGCTGAATTGCTGCCTCTCCCAACATTTGGATTTGCGTGCATTTTCTGAGCATTTGAGCAACACATAGGGACTGTGTAAATGGCGTGCACTGAAGTGTGTATTTCTCATGGTACTGGCCTTTCCAATTCCCTCTATTCCATTTTTTTCCCAATTCTTCCTCTGTCTCACTTAGATTCAGGTACCAAACTAACACAGTGGCAGGAAGGAGAAGCAGACATCCCTGTGTTTTTGGGGTGGAGGGGAGTGGAGGAGGGGCAGAGTGGTTGGCTGTTGTTTTGGGGGCACAGGGATTGAGGAATGGGCAGCTTGCAAAATCCCATTAGTTTAATGGCAGCAAAGAAGAAAGGGATTTTCCCTGCCAAAGTCTTTTCCAGAACAGCTCCTGAGAGTCAGGTTGATAGATTCTCTGAACAGGAATACCTTGAGAAGCAGTAGAAATTTTAGACTAGTCTGGTTTGTTGGTTGGGGTGTGAGGTGGAAGGTTCTTTTTCATCTTTTTGTTTGTTTGTTTGTTTTTCATCTGCTTTCTTTTCTGTCTTTCTTTTGATCAGGAATAGTGAGGTAACTGGGAGCTAATTAAAAAGAAAATTTGGTTTTCGGCTGGTAGAGTAGGGAGTTTGATTTAAAAAAAAACTTACAAACCTAAATAATTAAAGAAAAATGCAAAGTGCTTTGTAAAGAGCATGGGGTCTAGGCCCCCTGCAGAGCTCATGGTACCTGAGAAGACCCTCCAGGCCAGGACTCCCTGGGAATCAGTTGGATGGGAGAGGCCAGTGTGCGCAGTAGGCAAATTTAGGCATTTTGACTACACTTGGGCTTTTTTTTTTTGAGAAATAGCGTGTGATAGCAATTTGGGCAGTTGGGGAAGTAATAGCAAACTCTCAGGTTGTTTGGCCTCTTCCAGTCTTTCACCAGTGTTGCTCTGATACTTGGCGATGGTGTGGTTTTTAAGCATCGACTTGGAGACTTACTGGAGATAAATATTCCAAAGATGAAATTAGGAGTAAGACATCAGGAAGGGGATACCATGGGAGGTAAATTCAGAAATAATATTTTCTGGGTTTTGCAGCTTGCTAAGCACTCTGTTTGCCTGAGGGAAATGTGTGTGACTGGGAAGTCCTCTGCTTGCCACTTTATTGCTTGTTATTTTACAAACTCCTGTGTGGTTAGGCTGATATGATCAGCCATGAGCAGCAGGTGGTCAAGAGCTGAATCCTTTTAATGGCTGCAGAGTCCTTTCTACCAAGTGTTTCCAGCAATAGAAGCTGGTAGATGCCCGGAATGCTGGCTTGAGGATTTTTTTTTCCCCAATTCTGGGTCACTCTTTGCATTCTTACAAGTTCTGCAGGACAGAGGGAACAAGAGGAACACAAAGATAGGGACAGGTGTTTTTGCAGGTCCTGGCTGGGGTAATGAATTAGTTGAACTTGGGAAATCAAACCCAGAGAGAAGGCCAGGAGTAGCAAAGTGGCAGTGTGAACAGACTGCAACTGCAAGCAGCATGTGATCAGCAAATAGATTAGAAATAAGCATGGGCAGAGAAAGGCAAGGGGTAAATAATAAGGTTCTACCGAATGCTATAGAGTGAGAACTAATTCCACACTGAGACTTACAAACTAACGCAAGGGTTCCCTTGAAAAGGTACCAAGGTGGTGACCAAGGAGAAATGTAGAAACTAGACTTCTTGGTTAGGAGTGGCAGGGAGTATAATGGAATCTGGAGGACTTGCTTCGCAGGATCAAGGAATATCAATATAGGCCCTTGGAGAGACTCAGTCTCTTGATTTCTTTATACTATATCTTTGCCATACATCAGACAGTAGACTAAAAGTATAAACATTTGGGACTGAGGAGACAGTGAACGCATGGGTTACTGCCATGCTATTTCTCACTTCCAGTGTTTATTCATATTCACTCTTTGTAAGGCACAGTGCAAATCTATCAACATCGTTATCTAACTTAATCCTCGCAGATGTGGAATGGAGGAGGTTACATTGTTATCTGCACTCTGTAGAGACAATGATTAAGGTTCTTTCAAGTGGTGGAGTTGGCACTAAAGAAAACTGTTCTCTTCTGATTTTCTGAATCTTGAATGAAATGGGTGGGATGGCATGTATTTCAGAAATATTTTATGAGTGGACATTTTAAAAATGTCTTGAAGTGTGTGTGATGCAAAGAGCTGTAATTGACAGCTTTATTATTATGGAATGGAGAATATATCATGGCAGTGAGAATTAAGATCAGGCATTGACCAGGGTGAAGATGGAAATAAAAGCCACAAGGGTTGAGAATGAAGAGAGGTGAAACTAAGTTACCTTGAAAACTAGCCTGAACTGAAATTGTAACCCACGAGTAAAGGAAGGCTGTAGAGTAAGAACTGCAAGAACAGCACGTCCCATACTTTTGAAATTCTACAACTCTTGGTGTGCATATGGGATTCATGCGAAAGCAAGAGAGGAAACTACATATGAAAGAAAGCACTCAGATTGTGCAGTTGATTTGATTCCTCTTATTTTTGTCCTATGCTTGTTTCCTGTCCTTTTGCAGGTGATGTGTTTCTTCTGCATGATGTTAACTGAAAGATGCTCTGCATTTTCTTGATTTCTATGGAGACCTCAGAGCGGGTTTTGCCTCTGCTGACACCTCATTTTGCACCTTCTCTACCTCCCAAGGTCTTTTCCTCTCTCTATAGCTCGGCATTGCCCCTGGGTCCAGAGAACCCTTAAAGACCCAAAGGGGAGAGCCTAGAGAATCATTCTAATAGATTTTTTTGGAGCAGTGATGGCTGGACATACTTTAAACCACATCGTAACATGGGTCAAGCTGACTCTAGAAAACAAGTGCTAAAACCAAAGTCTTATTTGCATTTTATTTAAATTTGACGGACTGAGATTTGGACAGTATCCATGGAAGAAAAATATATTTCAGTTCATAGGCACCGTTGCTGGCTGTCAGATACTTACTGCCTACGAATCTTGCAACAGCAAGTCACCACCACATCCCAGACACATTTCTGAATTTGAACATCCACCCTAAAACATAGGTGTTTTAGGGACCGTGTCATTTATGACTTGGGCTTGAGTGTGCTAGGCTGTTTATCTGGACCAGCAAAGCTCTGGAGAGCAATGTTGAATCCCTGAGAAGACAGAGCATGGATTGTGCTGATTTAAAAACAGAAAATGCAAAGTTGGACTGAAAATATCCTTAGTCTTCCAAGCAATCTGCTTAAGGGTTCCAAACTTACCTTCCTTTGGTGAAGAAAGAAGCTGCCCTATTTTTCTTTCTTCTTCTTCTACAACTGAAACCAGCCATTTCCAAAAGCCGCAGCCATGGAGGTCGCAATGGTGAGTGCCGAGAGCTCAGGGTGCAACAGTCACATGCCTTATGGTTATGCAGCCCAGGCCAGGGCCCGGGAGCGAGAGAGGCTTGCTCATTCACGGGCGGCTGCGGCTGCCGCTGTGGCAGCGGCCACAGCTGCTGTGGAAGGCAGTGGGGGTTCTGGTGGGGGCTCCCACCACCACCACCACCAGTCACGTGGGGCCTGCAGCTCCCACGATCCGCAGAGTGGCCGCGGCAGTCGGAGGAGGAGGCGCCAGCGGCCTGAGAAAAAGAAAGTCCACCATCGGCCAAGCACCTTTCCACATTGTACTGACCTGATGCCCAGTGGATCGGAAGAGAAAATCCTGAAGGAGCTGAGTGAAGAAGAGGAAGATGAGGAGGAGGAGGAAGAGGAAGAAGAGGAGGGAAGGTTTTACTACAGTGAAGATGACCACGGAGATGGATGCTCCTACACAGACTTGCTGCCTCAGGACGATGGGGGAGGTGGTGGCTACAGTTCAGTCCGCTACAGTGACTGCTGTGAACGTGTGGTCATCAATGTGTCAGGCCTGCGCTTTGAGACCCAGATGAAAACTCTGGCCCAGTTTCCAGAAACTTTGTTAGGGGACCCTGAGAAGAGAACTCAGTATTTTGACCCTTTGCGCAACGAGTATTTTTTTGACAGGAACCGGCCCAGTTTTGATGCCATCCTGTATTATTACCAGTCCGGAGGTCGCCTGAAGAGGCCAGTCAATGTCCCCTTTGATATCTTCACGGAGGAGGTCAAGTTCTACCAGCTGGGAGAGGAGGCCTTGCTCAAGTTTCGAGAGGATGAGGGCTTTGTGAGAGAGGAGGAGGACAGGGCGCTGCCAGAGAATGAATTTAAAAAGCAGATCTGGCTTCTCTTTGAGTATCCTGAGAGCTCCAGTCCTGCGAGGGGCATAGCCATCGTGTCTGTCCTGGTCATCTTAATCTCCATCGTCATCTTCTGCCTGGAGACCTTGCCCGAGTTCAGGGACGACAGAGACCTCGTCATGGCACTGAGTGCTGGTGGGGTTGGGCACGGTGGACTATCCAATGATACCTTGGCACCCCATCTGGAGAACTCGGGGCATACAATTTTCAATGACCCCTTCTTCATAGTGGAGACAGTCTGCATCGTGTGGTTTTCCTTTGAATTTGTGGTCCGCTGCTTCGCTTGTCCTAGCCAAGCGCTATTCTTCAAAAACATCATGAACATCATTGATATCGTGTCCATCTTGCCTTACTTCATCACTCTGGGCACGGACCTGGCCCAGCAACAGGGAGGTGGCAATGGGCAGCAGCAACAGGCCATGTCCTTTGCCATCCTCAGGATCATTCGTCTGGTCCGAGTGTTCCGGATCTTCAAGCTCTCCCGGCACTCCAAGGGCCTGCAGATCCTGGGCCACACCCTCAGAGCCAGCATGCGGGAGCTGGGCCTTCTGATCTTCTTCCTCTTCATTGGGGTCATCCTCTTTTCCAGTGCTGTGTATTTTGCAGAGGCGGATGAACCTACTACCCACTTCCAAAGCATTCCAGATGCATTTTGGTGGGCTGTGGTCACCATGACAACTGTGGGCTATGGGGACATGAAGCCCATCACTGTGGGGGGCAAAATTGTGGGGTCCCTGTGTGCCATTGCAGGTGTCTTAACCATTGCTTTGCCAGTGCCAGTGATTGTCTCTAACTTTAACTATTTCTACCACAGAGAAACTGAAAATGAGGAACAGACACAGTTGACCCAGAATGCAGTCAGTTGTCCATACCTCCCTTCCAATTTGCTCAAGAAATTTCGGAGTTCTACTTCTTCTTCCCTGGGGGACAAGTCAGAGTATTTAGAGATGGAAGAAGGAGTTAAGGAATCTCTGTGTGCAAAGGAGAAGTGTCAGGGGAAGGGGGATGACAGTGAGACAGAGAAAAACAACTGTTCCAATGTAAAAGCTGTGGAGACTGATGTATGAATGGCTTTCTCCACCTGCCACTGTCCCCCAACTCCACCCTGCAGCATCTCCAAATATATTTGTGTGTAGAGAGTACAGTTACAAAAATGAAATATGCAATTGAGTCCAGTGCATACAGTAGTACGCCATTTAACGGTTATATATGGCATATTTGTTGCTAAACTTGTATTACATATCAAATAAATGATACATCTTGGAGAAGAGGGAGGCTTAAATAGGAGTAAACCTATCTTTATATTTTTTATTAGAATGCAAGAATTTTGCACATAAACTGGAAAATGTTTAAAGATAGTTTGATGGAGAATGTGCGTTTATGTGTGTGTTGATGTATGCCTATGTGTGGCTGGGAAGCTGTGTGTGTAAGTAAATTGACAGTGTTATTAGTAATTGTGCAATGATGGGAAAAGTTGGCATTTGAAGTATTTACTATTTAAGAACTAATGAATTTGAGCAGTAATTTATCAGTGCTTTAATAACATCTCATATGTCTTTGGATTCTGTAGTTGTGTGTGTTTTTTTTAATTGTAATTATTACTGTGTAGAAGAAAAGAAAGTAAATTATTTAATAGAATATAGGTCACACTTTTATCATGGATTTAATTAAAGTTTATTTTTAACTGGAAATTAACTTTTAAAAAGGCTAGAGGGGCCTTTAGAAATTGACTATATTTTGTTATTAATTTTGAAAATTTATGACAGAAATGCTGAACATGAAGGGGAAATGAAATTGGAGAAGGTATACCGAGTTTTGCTCACAGTCAAAAGCCTTTTTTTTTCTTTTCCTTTGCACTACTTTATATGCTGGGGATGGAGGGAGACTTTGTACTGTGAATGCTTACTGATGTAACAGGTCAATGACAATCATCGGAAGAATGATTTCTTAGTTCTATTTTGTTGTTCTTTTCTTTGCGTGTAACTAATGACCATTCAGATTACAACACATGGTTTCTTCCTCTTTTAAAATCTAAATAAGTGGTCTACAAAGGAACTATGAAGTAAAATTTAGCAGTTGAATCTTTTTGGAGTTGGTCTGTGACAATGACACTTCTGAAACCATACTATTTTAAATATTCTTCTGCCTTTGAAATCCAGAATAATTTAACCAAAGCTAATGCATGCACTAAAAGAATTCTTCAAGAAGATGCTTAGCAGTGATTATGGCTTAAGATCTTCCTATTAAATGTGCAACATAAATGCTAGATTTATTAAGTTGATTTCTTCTTTTGTGCAGTCACATAACAGTAGATTGTGGGGATTCAGGTCACATTTTAGCATTCCATTGGCTAAAATGGGTAAAAGGAAGATTTGTGTCAAAATAATTGGTCTCAACATTCTATCACTATTATCTTTATTAATAATTTTATGACATATGTCACTGTATTTAACTCAAAAAAGGGCATTCAGTAACTAGTGCTTGACCTTGTGCTAAGTCATAATGAGGTATTCATTAAGAAACAGAATACATGAGACTTGCCCTTCAATGTGTCTTAACTTGCACTCTTTATGAAATGTTCTCAAGGTTTAGGAAAGAAAATACTACATTGACTATCTCCATACATAATGAAATCTGACAGCTGTGAACTTCAAAAAAAAATGTAGCCCTGTAATAGCTATTCTTGGGTTTTTTTAGACCCAGGCCATCATTTGATAATTACATAAACCTTGTCTCATTTGATGGTGTTTGAATTAAAAATAAGTTCAGTATAAGGGCTAAAAGTAAAACTACGCATCTCTCTTGAGTCCTTTGCCAAACACTTTCTAAAATGTTTGGACAGCAAAAAGCAGGCAGCAGTATATTTGATTGAATCAAAGATCAATATAGAGTGACAAAACAAAAAAATGCTGTCTTATAATAACACTTTAGAGATGACAGTTTTACACAGTTTGTATAGGGAGCAAAAATGATAGACATTAAACCAGGGGCAAGGCTTGTTTAGGTTGGTCACTCTTCATTTCGAAAAGTCACTTATTGCCTGTAAGCCAAATGTCATGGTTTGTGGGGAAAAAAAAGAAAGTAAATAAAACACATTTCATCAAGCCCTATGGGAAACAAATGAAGACTCTGAAATGCAGAGTTTCTTACCAATGCCTGATAATTTTTTATTGAAATTGCTTAGTTTTACTCTGAAAGAAATATGGATTTAGAACCTTGAGGTACAACTACTTTATTAGGCTATTATAAGAGCATGAATAATTAATTTTCTGATTTTTATAAGCTGATTTGCAGATACATTGTATTCTATTGTTGAATAATTACTAAAGGGATAGTATCTGGGATGTCAAGGAATAAAATATCAACTATAGAGACAAGGACCATATATCTTAACCTAACCTATATCCAGTTAGGTTAGAGTGTATCTTAAAATTATTTGAGGGGTCTCTTGCATAGATCATTAATTGAACATTCTATAAAATCAATATCAATTATTTGACTATATTTGTGTGGGAAAATATACTGTCTCACTGCTGCTATAACTTTTCTTTCCCTTTAATTGGGGAGAAAGAAAGACAGGGATAGAGAAAGGTAGAGATCTTTCATCCACAGAGATCACTCCCTAAATGTCTAAAACTAGAAACTAATAAGGGCTGAAGCTGGGAACCCGGAAGTCAATCCAGGTCCTCAGCGTGCCTGTCAGGGATTGAAAAAGTCTTGCCATCATCTGCTACTTCCCAAGGTACCCATTATTGGGATGCTGAAACCCAGAGCAAAAACGGCATTCTGAAATATGGGATCTAGGCATCTTATCTTAGCTCATGTCTTAACAGGAGACCGCCTGCTGCTCTTAAAATCTGAAAGTGATTTTAACATTATTTAATATTGTAAAATGTATTGATGATTCCGAGACTTCAGCAAATATGGTACTTGGGGAATCCTGAGAATTTCCTTATATATGTAATTTGTTAAGGGTAAGAAGGTAAAAAAAAAATTGCCTGTCATGACTTTTGAGTCAGTTCATTACTTGATTATCACTAAATGCATGTTCTCAACAACAACTCCACCCTCCCCTTTAGAGTCATTTATTTTGTAGAATCCGGATTCGGTTCTGTACTGAGAAGCAAGCGTTTAAGCCCTCCAGAATGATATTGGGGCACTTTTGTGTGGAACAGTTCTCTTACATAGAATGTGTGAAAGGCAGTGCATCCCATGCAGCTGTGAAATTTGCAGCATCTTTTCAAGTTTAAGCAAGGCAAAGTACTTTAGATCTATTTATGATTTTTTTTTAATCCTGAGAAATATGCTATTTATAACTGATTCAAGAAATTGTATCTTCCTAGAGGCCTCCACACCAGTTTGGTGATGTGATAAAAGAGAAATAACCCCATTTAGAGATCTGGATTCCTGGGATCTAGGATCCTTTTGTTGCTTTTCAGATGATAATTAATGTTACCAAGAGCACACTTATTTGACGGTCATTCTAATCAGAGTCTTTTCAAGGGTGAATATATTGTTCTCTCTTGCAAATGCCTAAAAAGGAAATAGCTGTTCAAAACAGTATGGGGAATAAGGGAGGAGTAAAATATTCCTTTTCATTTTTGCAAAAGGGGAGCTTTTGGATGCCAGAGGAATGACAGCTGGCCTAGTGAATGGAGAACTAGCTGGCTTGGTAACTGTGGACAAATCATTTGATTTTCTTGATTCTCAGGTTTTCTTTCTAAATGTAAAATCAAGATTGGGTCAGATTGTCACTTGGTCCCTTTCAGTTCCAAAATTCTGCTGTGGAGTGGGAGTATTAGAATAGCCTGGTGTTTCTTAAGTCACACCAGCCTTGATTCTGTAGTTAAATAATCAGAACAACGTAACTCTTAAAAGTCTTGTGGTTAAGTTCCCTGCAGAACCAGGAACTTGAGTTTTTTATTTTTTCAAACAGTGTAAACAGAATTAATGGAAAACATTCTGAAATTGTTCATTCTAATGACTTCTAAAGGGAAGGGATTCCTTTAAGGAAAAATAGCTCTTCTGACTCCAGTTGAATACATATGGTGAGAGTTGGTAAGTAAAGATTTTGATTTACTGCTTTGTGATGAAACAGTCCTGTTAATCAACAATGCTTAGACCTGTGCTAGGGAACTTATTTTATGCTTAGAAATATTTTGTCTTTTACATAATTCAATGTACATGTACGAAATACCTAAGGAAAAGAATCTAAACTAGATACTAATTTTCCTAATCTTGAAAGAAAATCAATATTAATCCAATCACAACTTATTTTTAAGTCACCTTGTTGTTGTAAAACAGTGGCACTCCCACTTTCCAATAGGGTCAGAGATGTTGTCCATTGTTATTTTTCAGGGTTTTGGTGTGTGATTAATGTTAACATTGTAGCTATTAATAGGTAAAGCAGGAAATTCATCTATTATTGCCTAATGTTTTAAGAGAGGCTGTGATGCTGGGCTCATGTGCATAATCCAGAGTGTAACAACCCTTTTGTGTTTTTTTTTTTTTTATTGATACAGTTTAGAATGATTACGGGGTGTCATTCAGTGACCAAAGGGCCTGTTCCCGGAAATCTTCTTGACCCAAAAGTCATTCTGAATTCTGCAAGGGACACTTGATGTGGACAAAAGGTACCTCTTGGTTTTCCTGCCTGAAGAGAAACTTGTTTCTAAAATAGGGTCTTCCAGACCAGTGTAGCCACTGCAGTTAGAAGACAATTCTATTTTCCAGTGTGGAAATTAATATTTCTGTCTGAAAGAAGGCTGATGGATTTTTGTCCTCAAGGGTGAAGAAAGTACAGATATTATTGCAGTAAATGGGCATATGCACATCTGAAAAGCAAATTAAGATTAGGACTGTGATAGGGATTTTGTTCCTGGCTTGGTTTTCTGTTTCCATAGCAGTTCACATTTTTTCACAGTTTCTTCTTCACAAAAGTATGCTAATACATATCAGGCCATATGGTCCATTTTGAGGCTCAAAAAATATGGTCACTTTATTTATGGGTAAATAAATTAATCTCTGGGTATGAGTTGGCTGCTTTGGAAGGCATAATATGTATTTACTGAGTTGTATCTCTTATGTGAGAATCTCTATCTTAGCATCTCTCTTTTCAGGCCTGTGGGACTGGAATGGACATACAGAGCAAACAATGTGCTAAATTTAGAGTCTTGCTGTCATCGTAGAAAGCTGTTCCCCAATTCAGTACTCATAGTGTTGGTCACCTTAGGCTGTTTTTCTCTGTTTTTTTCTTTCTTTTTTTTTTTTTTTTGTTTCATGCAAGGGGTATTTGTTTTTGGAGTAGAGAGTGCTAATTAAATGATTTGGCAGCTAACCCACTGCCAACTCTTGCTTCTTAATGTGCACATGAATGATTTGGGAGATCATCCATAGCTGGTTGCTCTTAGGAGTCTGCTTACTGAGGCTCAGGACTCTATTGTCTCCTGTTAAACAGCCAGTCCAGAAAATGTAAATTCATGAGAAGATAAAACGATACAAGTACAAGGCAAAAGCAAAAATAACAGAACTAGAAAGGCAAGCAAAACCTGCTTGAGAAGATTGTTCAAATTAGCATATCATAAATGTAAGTGCAAAATACGGAGCCTTAAGGGTCACCTTTTTTCATGACCTCTTAACATTAGCAAGGAAAACTAAGAGGTGACTGTTGTGATGTATTCCCTAAGGTAGAAATAAATTACTGATCACATTTATACTTTAACATTTTCTGTGATAGTGATAGA